ATGTGACCATAGGAACGTAGTAGCAGTTATAAGTGTGAAAAAATGTCTTGTCACTTTTTTCACTGTAACTTCGAATGGTGACTACATGAAATTTTTTAAGTTGAAGACCACCTATGTGCTTTAATATTTATGTGCATCTCTGGTTCATTCCTTTTCTCCTCAACTTGAGGAAGGAGTTCTGACCCAGGCTTCCTTAAAAAGCAAGAAGCAAAGTCTTGGTCCTGGCAAAACCTCTTTCATTTAACAACTGTGAATTCATTTCATTCACAGTCAGCAAACATTTCAGAGGAATGTTTGTCCACATGCACCTTATCTTGTTTGGAGCACTGCCAGATAACTAGTTTCCAAACACAGGACAAGGCAACTTGGCACAGAATCTCTTATAGTCACAAACAGAACTTTCTACTCTTGAAATAACCAAATGAATGACTTGCTTCCTGCAAAAACTCACTCCCCGTTCATTCTTCTTTTGTTTCCTATGTGAGGGGCCAATCACCTCCAAGGTGTGGCTTTACTCCTAAGTCGACCCTGCTTTCTTAGTTGTTCTTGTCTTCTGGCATTTCTCCGCATGTGTACACTGGGAACAGGCTCCAATTGCTCTTCTGCCTCACTGCTGCCTAACTTCCTCTCTGCATCCAACACAGAGCCCTCATCTGAGCTTGCCTCAACCCCCAGGACTGGCCCATGTTCCTCCCAACCTCCTTACTGTCTGACTCTGCTGCCAGCTCTGCTGGTTGCTGGCAGGCCACAACAGGCTGTAAGGATGCATTTGTAACCAACGTCTTCTTTTTCAACTAATAATAATCCATTACAATAGAATAAAAAACAATATTTTATCTTTCTTCATGTATAGTTAGATAAATGTTGTGCTAATTGGTTTTTATTGGTGAGGGCCTTGGATGAAACAGACCAGAGTAAATTTCCTTTCACTTAGGCTTCACACTTGGGTATAATAATGATAAAATATCGGGTGCACTTGTTGATAACTTTGGGCAAAACTGGGACAGGAGCGGAGCAACAGTCCTGATTCTCCTTTCTCTCTCAGTGACTTCCAACTTCACTGATCATTGTATCCTTCAGGACTGGCTTCAGAGCAGAAAGCATGATGCTTGTGGTGGTTGTCCCTCAGTGCAGGAGGGGAGATATCAAGGCCAAAGTCCCTCACATCTGGGGTGTTACAGGGTTCAATACACTTATCATAGGATTTCTCTTTCTACTCTGCTTTTGTTAAAATAGTCCTTAGAAATATGTTTTCAACCGAGGTTTTGTCTCAGTGGGTAGTGGGGCTTTTACTGGATTGGAAATGTTTGATTGCATATTTTACATATACATGAAGCCACTGGTTAAGGCCACCCATTCAGTATACTGATAATGCCCAGTCTTGACCCTATGTTAAGGAATGCTGTCATTATCTTATCTCAGTGTCTCAAAGCTGGAAGGAAGATAGTGAGAAGAGGGAGATGGAAGGGAGAAGGAGAGAAGGAGAGAGGGTAGGAAGGGGAAGAGGAAGAGAGGAGGAGGGGAGAGGTAAGGGAAGAAGGAAGGGAAAAGAGGAAGGAAGGAAGTAGAGAAGGGAGGGAAGGAAGGAGAAGAAAGTGGTGTCAAAATAGGCGAGGGATGGTAAACAAAACAACCCGAATGGAATATTACAATGCTATAAATGGAATGATAAATGTGTTAGAATTATGAATGTAAAAAAGAAACAAAGAATAATAATTATGTGAATGTGTATGTATAGAGAACAAAAAATAAAAAAAATAAAAAAAGCTGGAAGAATCTGGATGGAAAGAATTTGGATCGCTGGATGTTTTGGGATTGGTGAATAATCTGATGGTTTTCCTGGACCAACAGCTCCTGTTCAAAGAACAGATGGCACTTATGACCAGGAAAACTTTTGCACAAATTCATTCAAGAGCAGCTGTATCCTATCTTGGACCAGGTGGCACGTAGTCCCTTTGTACTTTGGTCACCTTGTGTCTGGATTACAAATTCAACAATAATAGATAGATAATAAACTGTCCTGGTGAAAATATTTTAACACTGATATTTAAAATATCTGGAAGATTAAAGCTTTAGCATATTTTCAACTTAAGAAAAGAAATAAGCAAAATAGTTTCATAACACTAAAGCAAAAATATCCTTCACCCTGAAGCACACATTCACTTTCCTATATCAAGGACTGCCATTTAATTTATGCATGACATTTCACTTGTCAAAGAATTAGTTATTCACCATCTTCAAAAATGTACTTGTCATATGATAAGATCTGATCTATTGATCCAATGGAAACATCTAAACAAGATAAGCTTTCTTGATAGAGTCATTGTGAAGGACAAGAAGAAAGAGCACAGCGTGATAAAGAAAAACATGAGTCAAAGGAAGATTCTCAATATTCTACTTCAGAAGAAAATGAAGCTATGAAAAGAAATAGAGGCCGATTGCTGATAAATAGCTTTTTAAAATATATATCAGCAAGTTCAGAGAGTAACCAAGCACACTTTGGTTAAGTGTAAAATAAGACCTTATTCCTTTGCTGAACTTTTTGTATTTTGAATGACAGAGTGCCAAGTTTGAAAACCTGATAATTGTTTGATTCATAAAATTACAGAATGAAATGACTTTATGATATGTATAAAGAGCTTGTTAATTTGGCCCACCCCAGGAGACTGATAAACCCTATTGTGTTCCAGGGGAACTTGGAAGTCAAGGACTTGGCTGCAGGCTGGAATAGGCATGTGACTGAAACTATGGACTGGATTCTGTTATACAGCCTTTTTCTGTGCACTAATCTGGCATTCCCTCTTGGTTTTCCAGTGAATACTGGGATATGAAATGCCAGAAGAAACTCCTGGAATGCTGCTGGAGAAAGATGAAGACGAATCTGACTGAACAGGAGTAAGAGCCCATAAGGACAGTGAAAACTTGTTATTTCTCTGCTCCTACTGTGTCTACAAATAACCACTCAACAGCCCTGTTTACGGTGCCCCACTCCCAATTGAAAGAAGGGGGCTGAGCCATAGGATCACCTGCAGGTCATGGTGAGGAATATTCAGTCTCTCTGGCAGACAAAATCACTCAGATTCGCTCAGAGTTGGAGTGTGACTGGGCAAGTCCTAGTGAGTTTCCCAGGGCACAGTCTTGTTATATTATCTTTTTGATTTTGTTATGCCCCATAGATGAGCTAAAAATGTAAGATCTGAGTATAAGGAAGTAAGATTGAACCTAAGCTATAAACAGCTGAATATATCATTATAACCACCTTGAAATGATTCAGATCATGACCGACAAAGAGTGAATTTAATGGTGGTAGTAATGAAGTATATTATTATTAATAAGCACAATACCCCATTACAATGATAAAACATAATGGTTTAATATTATGCTGCTTAACCATAAGATAGGGATGAATGATTATGGAAAGGATTAAACTGTTCTATCTGCCGATTTTTCTATTGAAATTTTCCATCCCTGCTACATCCAATTTGGATTAGAGCCAGTTTATCTCCTGGTTAAGGCACCAGACTAGAAACCAGGAGCCTGTGAGTTCTAGACCACTTTACGCAGGAAAACTGGGTGACTTTGGGTCAATCACTCTCCTTTAGCCCAACTCACCTTACAGGGTTGTTGTGAGGAAAATACGAGAAGGAAAAATATTACGTATATTTACTGCCTTGAGTTTATTTATAAAAATAATAAAGATGGGATATATATATATATATATATATATATATATATATATATATATATATATATATATATATATATATATATATATATATATATATATATATATATATATATATATATATATATATAAAATCACTCCCTGTCTGCTGTTAATTATAATAAAGCTCTCAACCATTTCCAAAGTTCAGCATCATATCTTGCTTGGTCGTGAGTTTTGAATTTTTTGAGATGAATTCAGATTCACAGTTAACATTGTGATGGGCAAAATTTGTCTTTAACTTAACATTTTATTTATATATTCCCACTAGTTGTGACATATAGATGAAAAAACAGTTGGAATTTATTAACACAGTTTCTTTTTAAAATGGGACTTTGTAACAATACTTTGGAAATCAAAATTGGAACTTTTTTCTTAGCAAAAAGAGTACATGTATCTCATACATACCAAATACAGGTGCAATGTTTTTGTTTCCCTTTATCTGGAGTCTAATAAAATGATTTTCCTTTTGTACTTCCTTAATATAGTGACATTACCCCTGGGATTCAATAGCCCTCTTAGTTTCTGAACATGAATTTTTAAGCATCTGCCACCTAAATTTATATAAGCATAAACAATTTAACAGAATGGTGCTCCTTAATCAACAGAAGCCATCCGCATTGCAAAAGAGCTGTAATACAAAATGTAAATGTAAGGTAAAAATAGAGGACCAACTGAAATGCAAATCCAGAGTTATGTAATTACTTATACATGAATGACAAGAGAGTGATGGTAAGCATTTTACCTTTAGGGTTTTCAAATTCAAACAGGTGCTTAATATCATTATCAACCTTAATTAAGTTTTCATATTCACAAGCGGCTTTAATCAAACAAATAATACTGTTTGTTGTAAGACAAAAGTGACTAGCCATAGCCAACAGCCAGTCAATTGTGCTTTTTAGAGGCCTCTCAAGAGACTTGGCTGAGATCAAGGAATGCACAGATCTCTTGCTTCTTTCAGTCCCCCTCAGTTAAATGTTCAAGTACATAAATTCTCTTTGGCTTCCTTCAGTCATAATTCAACACTACTTAATTTAGTGTTATTCAGTATTAACATTAATCATGGGTAAGGTGAACAAGGATTGCACAGGACCAAGATATGCAAGCCCGCTTTTCAAATACTGATTTTAAAGTACAATTTTGAGACAATGTAAGTTTGACTTAGCCATGTGTCGTGCAATTGAGACCTGAAATTATGTTCGAAATGACCCCGGAAAGCCAAGTTTCACATAACAGACCAATATGAATATTATGCTACTAAATACATTTGCATTACCAGTTCCTTCTTTTTCATGCATTCCATAAGAATTATGAAGAGATGCTGAGCCTGTGTCCGGGTATAGGTGAAGGTTTTCTGGATAGTAACAAGTAATTGGTCTCTCAGAGATTCATTGATAAGCCTGAAATTTAAAAAGGACAGCATCTAAACATTCACCAATAAGCAAAACTCTGAGTTTAAAATTATGATTTAAATAACTCCAAGTTATTTACATCAAACATCAAAAGCATTGAATTTAATTCACTTGTCTCATTTATTCTGCAGTGCTTGTTCCTTTGCATAACTTGCTTTGTTTCTACTAATGATTGGTGGTGGTGGGACAAGAGCTGAGTACTAGAAATCTGACCTCTGAGATTTCATAAAAACATTGCCTGCATGGTTTCATAAGCATAAAGGCTAAAAAGGCACTTTCCGTTTCTTGTTTTATAGTGAAAAATAAATTGTATATTTAGACCCATTTTGACTTTTCTCCCATTTCACACTTGAAGAATGGCACGTATGCCATTCTGCCTGGGAGGTAAGAATGTACTCTGTTGTGTTTCATATGATTACAGTCATTCTGTAAAACAAAAGGCAGGAAAAGCAGATAAAAAATGCTTGAAAAATGACCTGCTGTTTCTGTGCAGACTTGGTTTCAATTTCTAGATCATGAGTTGAAAAAAACTAAACAAAACGAAACCCCCTGGAATTAACTGCAGTACAACTGGGTCTGGCAGGTTATCTCAGAAGCAAAAGGATTTTTCAGATTTCTCTCTCCGTGGTCAGAAAGACAGCTCTGACCTTGGAGGAGGGTATCTAATATCAGAACCACCTCCAGGCTCAACTGAAACTTCCAGTACACGCTCAGCTTATTTTGGAACTCTGACAGTGAGAGATGGAGAAAAAGGGCAGATAATTTGCTTAATATATGCACACAGAACTTCGGATATCACAGGGGTGAGCAACTATGGCAAGTTTACAAGTTATGGACTTCAATTCCCAGAATTCCTAAGCCAGCACGACTGTAATTAAAAGAGTACCAAGCAACAATATAAATAAAGTAATCAGTAAATCCAGGGACTCCCTTTATCTCACGTGATTAGGCCCATTTAAATAGGTGCTGAGCATTTTACTTGGAGAAGAAGATGTAAGGGAGAAGCACTTCATTGGAGAGGAAAAGTAATCCCCTGAGATGTGCTAGACCCCCGTGCTTCTGGCATCTATGAAGATACTTAAAATCATACTTTCTATATACAGCTATAAATAATGGATGACTTTCTGTTTTTAAATTAATTTAATGTTGATTTTAGTGAAGCAAATTGATTTTGATTGTTTTTAGTCTATTATCCTTTTGTACACTATCCTGAATCCTCTGACTGGTGTGAGGTAAATCTTCAAGTTGTTTCCCTCAGAAGGAGAAAAGATTTAGAAGAAGAGCAAAGAATCAAGAACCCCAGCCAGGAATAAACAAGCAGAAAAGATGAAGACAAAGTAAAGTCTTGGACAGAAAAGTAACAGGAAAGTGGAAACTAAAGCCGCTTATAGACAATGGTTACAACAGAGAATAATTTTATTATTAAAATTCAGCTCTACAATAATTGAGCACATTTATCATTTACAGTGTCTTTTTCTTTAATTTGTAAGTTTTTCTGCTTTAAAATAAAAGGCTTTCCCATGCCCAGCCACTAAGGGGAGATACAAAAACCCAATAAATTGTCCAAATTTTTAATGCTTTGCGTTTGTTGAATCTAGGCCAATCTGGTTATTGGTGGGAAATAAATAAATAAATCCTATGACACTGTCACATTAGGTAAAGCAGGAGTGTTCCTGTCTATTAAGGACTACCATCTGGTTGGAGCAGGGAAGGAAGCCTTTTCTCTTATGGCACCCAATATCAGGATATTTGACTGGTCCCAGCTCTATTCCCTTGTCTTTCAGAGAGGATGATACTATGAGACCATGACAAAATAGCATTGAGACAACCTATGCATTGCTATTTGAGACAGAGCCATGTCTATCAAGAAGGTCATGACATCCTAGGCTGACTGTGCCATGTGGAAGAGCATTTCCCCCAAACTCTTTATAGTTCTGACTCTTTAGGAAGGCCTTAAAATGGCTCTTCCAGCAGGCACTGAGCCAAGGTGAACCTGCTCGATTCAGGCAATTTAAGCCTTAGTCTTGCTCTGGTATGTTGCTTTATTATTTCAATTCTTTTGCTGATTACTATACATTTTACCCCTCTTTGTAGCCTGTCTTACTTGACAACTAGGTGTCATGCAAACAGCCTGGAAAAAAGAAATGCAAACATTTCAAAGAGGACCTATCTTAATGAATTCACCAATAAAGATTTGCTGGATAATTCCAATTTTGGTTGCAGATATTAGTTATTCATATATTGGCATAGTTCATCAATTTTAGACATTTCTTAATCACATTAACTAAATGCAGTCACTTTTTAAATTCAAAGTTACCCCCAGTATTTTTTCAAAATAAGAAACACTGTATTTTTCAGGAGCTATAAAATTTAGAGGATGTTAAGCAATATCATAATATATGTTTATTATATTCAAAATTGTAATGAAACATATGTAATGCTATGAAAAAATATTTGATTAAGTTTATCTGAGAAACTGAGAATTTGAAACATTTATCTCCACTTTTGAAAAGTTTATTGTGAAATGTATATAGAAGCATCATTTATGCTTCCTAGCAAATAGTACAGAAAAAGTATAAAAACATAACTGAAAGGTTTTCAATGAAGTATCTACTTGTATCTCTTCCTTATCTCTACCCAAAACATGATAAACATATTTTAATAATCTTGATTGTCTGTCTTGCATTGTATCCATCTTATAATATGCTACTTGAAATCTACTGTCAAAAATTATAGAAATAAAAAGTACTGTAACCACATGACATAGTTTTTTAACAGAGTATGATAATAGAAGTATTAACTTTTATTTTTTTCCTAATTATTCACTTGCATAATTAGGGACCTCTTTCATATTTATCAAGCCTAACAACAACTGTTCATTTGAATTTTAAAAAGTCTTGGATTATTATCTTTTATTTTATTATGTCTTTTATTATTATGTATTGATCTGTTGATTTTCAATTTCTCAAGATCTAGAATTTTGACTCTTGTCATCTCAGTTCCTTAAATTCCCTTAATGAAGATATATTCTGCATTTTTGCCATACATCTGCAGGAATGAAAACAGATGAAAGAATTTATTAAATTTCTTTGCAATCCCTTATTCTAATTTAGAATTCTTTTAATCCTCTTATAACATATCAAGGAAATTATCTTCAGAGTTTATTGTCCATGACATATTAAATTATTTTAAACATTTTTAGTCTTAATTACAAATAATATATTTTTAAGACAACTTTTTTTTGTTTATAATATAAAACAGGCTCTTTTTTTCTTATTTGGACTATCTTTCCAATGAATGGTGTCAACCTTTTTTCTGTTCTTTGATAGTGTTGATTAATTATTCTCATGACCTCTTGCTCTTAAGATTCATGGAGTCATTTAAGCCATCAACCAAGGCAGTAATCCAAATTAAAATACTTCTGCCATTCAGTCTGTATTTGAAAACATTCAGTAATGTTTTCAAATTCAGTAATGTACAATAATGATCAATTCAACTATACTGTTATGGTTGAACAATTTTAGACAGTTTTTGTAATGTTAAACAAAACTGGCCTTCTTGTAATTTAAGATTATTATACTGTGTCTTGCATTTCAGGATAATATTACTTATCCTGGACTTGATATATGCTAGTTAAGCTTTTCTGCTGAAAAGTACTTAACCCCATTGGATTCCTCTTTAAAGTTATTTTGCATTAATCCTTTCATTTAAAATTTCTTTTTAAATAAATTCTTTTTAAAAATAAAACGTAGCTATGTTGGGTTCCTTTGATACTTTCCCATTTCTGTGTAATAAGTCAGTGGCACAGTCTTCAATCAGTTTGACAGCCAATACATATTGTTCTAGATCAGGGATGGACAACTATGGCAACTTTACAACCTGTGGACTTCAACTCCCAGAATTTCTGAGCCAGTTCTACTCCATCAGTCTTAACTACATTTCCTCTCTTTACTACCATCAGGTCACAATTCACACTCTTGACTCGTCCCTGTGTATTTCTTTCAGTAGCCTACTTATTGTCAGTTTATCCTGGTTGCCCCAAATCTGGCATACATCTTTTTAATCTAGGTGACATCTGAGCTAACGTGACTCTTTTAGTTTGTGTCACTCTCATATTCGAGGTACGCAGGTAAAGTGTTAGAGGGTCTTTGCCCAAAGATCCTTACTGGTAAGGTGGGTACTATTATAACTTGAGAATGAAGACAGAGGCTCTTTATTCAGTAACACTATAACCAATTTTAATGTAGCAGTAACTTGAGTGAAAGTAACAGTAACTTGCAACAAAGTAACTCTAGTAGACCGGGCTGTGTGCGCGGCTAAATGAATGTAACAAGAAGTAGACCGGGTAGTCTGTGGAGAAGAGGCAGCGAAGCAGTTCCGAGTAAACCGGGTTGTTCGGCTGCTCTGGTAGACCGGGGTGGCGGTTGGAGAGAGTCTGCCCTTTTATATTCCAGCAGACTCGCGCTTGACAGCTCGGCAACTGACAGGCGCGTCTGATTGGCTAAGATGCGCCTGGCTGCTGCCGAGCTGTCATTCATAACAGCGAGGACTAACTTTTACTATACAACAGGTACCAACAGAATTAACACCCAGTTTCCCACATTATATGGCAGTGTTCCAACCACTAAACTAACCACATGCTATGCTATGCCCCCCCTTTCCCCTCTTCTGAATGTGTGTACAAACATACCAACATACAGAGAGTTCTTTGTAGTCTATCTATCTGTGGACAAGTGCCTTCATATAAGCAAATTTAAACTCTTCACACATCTTCTGTTGATTTAAGAAATTAAGATATAACATTTAGCTGCCAACAGTTATTTGAACAACTAGAAGAAATATTATTCTACTTAACGGAAACCTTGTTGATCAAATTTGATTTCTATTTTTGTCACCAAAATTTCTACCTCTCCATCTGATTTCTCACTTGCAGAGAAAAGGGATCCATATGTTTGTCCACTGCAGATGGGAAAGCAGCTGCGTTACGAGTAGATTTTGATAATAAAAATAGCATGGGCAGAAAGGATTAGGAACTTCATCCGTCAGTGCTGGTATTCAATTAAAATTAAAATCCTTCTATTTGCATTCTAAGAAATTGGGAGATTATCACACCTATCTATCCATTCTACAGTAACTTTTATTTTAAAATGCAAATTAAATATTTAATGCATATTTTTTCACTTGCCTGGAAAATGTCATACTGATTTATACAAGCCACATAGTTTTAAAGAGTTATTTTCAAGTTACTTTTAGTTGTTTTTACAGAAGCATTTTGATTCCACATAGCCTTAGTAAAGACCGTTTAATGAAAAAAGTGAATAATGGCAAACAGGTCCCTGAAGAAAGCGCTCAACCAGATTTTCCCATCTTTCTTTGCAATACACAGCTGTAGGGGGTATTGGAGTCATTTCGGGACACAGAATCAATTTTTTCAGCAAACTATCAAGATCCATTAGCGTTGGACAGTGGTGTCCTTCAGAATGCAGCTATTTTTTTTTAGTAAACAACTGATAAGGACCTAAGAAGACAACATTTAAAATGGCTACTGTAAAGTGACAAACGTTAAAGTTATTTTTAATGCAATTATATACATTATTTTCATATACATGGAGAAGATATTCCCCCATTTAGCATCTACATCTATATCTGATCCAGCATTGGGAATTTACAAATGTATTAAGATATATCTTAGGGTTATGATGCTTTGGTTCAATTTTCAATGTTTCTGAATTAGGAATTCACACAAACATGTTTGTGTGTGATATTTGTTTGTCTGTGGGTAACTTATGCTTTCACTAGCTCTTGGCATACCTTAAACTGGGTTCTTTCAGATTTTGGGCCTCCATTTCTATTTTGAGTCAACATGTTTACAATAACATTTCCTTGAAACATTAGTAATTGCATAAAGCTTCCACATAAATTATCTCAGGAACTGAGAAATATGAAACCATTAATTCTTTTGTATTTTAAGAAATATATTTGAATGACTGCACATGTGTATTTTTGTTCAGGGAATCACTGGTGGATGTTTTGCACACTTACAACATTTTAATAAGGATATTTGCCTGCTACCCAAGAACTGTGATTTATGGCATTATATTTTAATCAATATGCATATTTAGGATTACAAATCACATTTACTTGTTTCAAGTAAGAATATTTAGGACTGAAGATGACATCTATAACAGTATAAAGCATATCAAGCAAATAGATTTGTCAGTTGTCCCAGGATATTGAAGCAGAAAAATAGGCTATAAATATTTCATAAAGACAGAAAAGCAAATAAAAAAATAAGCATGCATCAGTCAAACACTAATGAAGCTTGACTTGTTGCAACACGACATTGGACCCATTGAAAAGTAATTTATTAGGAGCATATGAGAGGGGATGAGAAATGTGTATTGGTTTTCTTTGTGCCACTGAAGGGATACGGTGTGCATTACTTGTTTCTTCCAAAGTCACTTCCATTTGCCACTAGATATGCCAGAAGGATCTCAAAGCAATTTTGTATGCAGGTATATGTGTGTCTTTGAGTCAATCTTGACTGCTAGCAACTACATGGACAAACTCAGGTAATTTTTTAAACAAAATATTAGGCAATGGCTGGCCACTGCTTTTTTTATGGCTGAGAAGAAACAAGACTGCACTGAAGTCACCAAATGCTCAGTTTCTTTGTCCAAGATAGGAATAGAATTTAGGTCTCCCTGGCTGTCAATATCTAAGTATACTTTTTAAAAAGACCATGCTGGGAAAATTCTTAAATTATCAAATGAATTCCTTGTGATACCAAAATGCATTTTAAGAGGAAGGAAAGGAATATTTAAAAGCATTCCATGGGTTCTTTTGAGATATACCTGGGCCTGAACTATGAAAATTTAGCAGATATTAGAAGCAGATGTAAATTAAAATGGAGAATAGCAAATATGCCTACTTTAGGTACTGGAATATTAAATAAATAATATTTTGATCCAGCAGAATATATATTCAATGAAACCTTTCCCAAACTCTTTAGGGGATGCAGTTTGCAGGACTGATACCGGCAAAAATTCATTCTTTCATTTGGCAGACTGATTTTAAGTCAGACAGACCTGAGAACAAAACATTCTCACACAATACCTTTTTTCTTTGCTATGGAAGATCCAGTAGAAACAGATGGCAGAGATGGCATCTTTCTGTCTGACTTAGAAATCTCTTTAGAATTGATGCCCAGTGTCAGACAAGATAAGTCTTTCCACACTAAATTGCACTGTGGTCCTTCAGCTATGATTCCTGCTAAACTGCAATGACCAGATACACTGGGGAATCTGGTCTGTGTCTAATTATAAATTATTTAGTAGGCTGTCACCAGATAACTTCAAGTTTTGTTTTGTTTTCTTTTTTGGGGGGAAATGGTAGATGCTGCCAGATCTAAGCTCCTGTTTAAATATATTTTACTGATAAGATTAGTCAGTACAATGGATTATGATTTTAATTAATCTTCTGCACATCCTTTTCTCTCCTTTATATTTTGCAACTTTGTTCTTCCTCCAAGTTTCATGTTCTCCAGGGCTAGAAGGTCAGGGAGGATACAGAGCAATACAAGGAAACAAAAAACAAACAGATTTGCAGAAAATAAAGAGCATCAGTCTCACAGTGATCTGCAATGTTAATGGACAAATATTTCATGCATATCAGCACAATAATTTTGACAATATGGTTTAGATTGTGAAAAACTTATGATTGAGCACATGGGGCATTAACATGTACCAAGAGAATAAGGATGAAGATTATGGCTAAAGACGTTTCCCAAGCACTGCTTTATTTAGCTTCATTTTTCAACACTGCAATAATCTCTTCAAAGATTTTGCCTCATCTGCTCCATTTTTATTAATACACCAAGTCTGAATGTTTGTATCTTTCAGCAAAAAGACATTTAAGATATTAAAAGTGAATAGTGTTAAATTGAACCTAGTATGGATTTTTCACACAGGCAGTACATAAGAAAAATGCTTCTGCTTCTGTTATTTTTGAAATATTTCAATATTACAGTGACTGAGTTTACAAAGAAAGATTTATATGAATACAGCATTCTGAGAATAGACTTACCCTCCTTCTTCTGAGTATTTATGACCAAATGCAAGGATGTCAGATGCTCGGCCACTCCCATCACATACTACTACTGGAACTGGGGGTGTATCACGCAGATATTCCAGGACAATGGAAATTACATTGGGTCCACCTTCTACAATGAGGGCCACTACTGGTACTCCTTGACCAATTCCTGTTATGAAATAAACAAAAGCAAAACAAACAAAAAAGCATGCAAATCAAATAAAAATACACCAATAGAAACTGAAACTATCACCAATACTATTTTGCTTAAACAACATTAACAAACTATGTATTTGTATCATTGTCTTAAAGTAGATAGCATAAAAGTGGAGATATAAAATAATAAATTGGCAAGATTTTGCTTTTTAAGTGAAGTTCACCATGAAATGAGGAGGGAGAAAGAAAAACTTAGCCCCTTCCAACTCACATTTTAATTCTTGGCCATAGCTTTCTAAATTACAAGTAAGTCATATCTGACATAGGGTATCTGTTCAATATCATCATAAAACATGAAAGTTCTGTTGCATTTCAGAAAGTACATATGAGTCTTATAGGAATGTAAGCCACGAATGCAAAAAATTCCTATTTATTGTGGATAGAATCAATAACTCTGAATAAATAATAAAGTTGCATATTTTACACATTTTCTTTAGAAGGGAATTTAATGCAGGAATTATATAGCAGGTCTTAATTAAGGCTACTTTCTCACAATTATAACCTATAACAATGATCCCAGTTAGTTAATGCAATAATGTAATACATTAGAATTTATCCAGATTATTAATGTGAGAGCATTCCCATAAACTGACATAATATTGCTTTTGAAATGTAGTCACCATGAAATGAGGAGAAAAATAGAGAAACACCATAACATATAAACTTCAATCTAACACCACAAGGAACACCTAAACCAGGGGTGCCAAACTCAAGGCCTGGGGGCCAGATCTGGCCCACGGGATGCTAAGATTTGGCCCATGAAGCCACCCTGAAAACAATGGCCCTCGGTGCCTCTGCCAGTGAAAACAGAGCTCGGGAGGGCTGCACATGGCCCTCCCGAGCTCTGTTTTCACTAGCAGAGGGTTGCAGGAGGCCGTCACAGTTGAAAATGGAGCTTAGGAGCCCGTTTTCTCTTGCAGAGCACTCAAGCCACCAAAGGTGCCCCAGACATGAATGACATCGAGCTGGCCATGCCTACCCTGGCCACTCTATCCCCCCACCAAGGTTAAACACAACCCTGATATGGCCACAATGAAATCGAGTTTGACACTCCTGACCTAAATTGATTATTCTAGTTCACAGAAATAGCCATGAATGTTACATTTCAGAAGGTCTCAGATCCTGCTTTTCATTCTTTGTCCATCTCATGTGGTAAGGCCTTTCAAGAATCAGCAATGAATAGTGTAACACTTCAAGTAAATTTAATGGTATAAATCAGATTTAAATGTTCTATTGAGCAATGATCTTTTAATTTTTTTAAAGCTCAAAAAAGCTCACATTTCATATATCAAAATTCTTTTACATACAATTTTCTCGGAGTTTCTAATCTGCTTTTCCTTGTTGGCTTATATGTAACTTTACTGATGAAGTATCTTGGGTAGTTTGGATAGGAGGTTTAGGCAATATTTCCGATAATCTCAAAGTATGATTCTTTTCCCACACAGTTAACAACTAGGATTTATCTATCTGTATCCAGCACCAGCTCAAGGATAGCTGGCATTCTGAATGACAATGACTAATAGCACTACCTCCAGCTAATGTGAAAATTTGCATTTTTAGAATGACTTGGAAGGAGGGGCTATATTGGTACTTTAGGTGTCCTGAGCTAGTGCCTAATTGGCCTGAGCTTGCCCTGCATGTATTTATTTATTTGCACCTAAATGAAAATGTAAGAAAAGCAGCTTGCTTTCCCCCTGACATGTCCTGGTTGACTATCTCTCACAGATCTTTCATTAATTTTGAATGTGGGCTTATTCACCTTAAAGAGAGATGAAAAAGAAAAGTAAAAGCAGAAACCTATCAGTCAGAAATATATATAACTGGCCAATTCAAAATAAAAGATGGCAAACCCTCTATCTCATATATAAGTCATTTGTAAGGCCATGATTAAAACGTCAGCTAACTGGAGATAATTTCCATTTAGGATTTTCTCTATAGGATTTAAAATTGTAATTCATAAATACACAATAAGTAAAACGTATACATATATACATGAAATATTTTATTTCCTTGGTTAAAGATTTTACTTTCTACAATCTTCTCCAGTTGGATTAAGCATACATTTCAGAATCATTGGAAGTCAAGCAGCAAACAAGTTTAAATAATAGTAAGAACTACTTTTACTTTAATTTCCAGAAATCAGACCAAATTTTATGCTGTGAAAATTTTATATGAAGCCAGAGAGACTAAGATTAGCTGAGTGTTATTTTTGTGGCTATTGAAAAATATAAAGGAAGAAATTGTCACTATGAAGCAAACGTTATATAATAACATTTAATGTTCCTTTTTATTTATACATGCTTGTAGCATGTATTACATGTAATGTCCAGTGTGTGGGGGGGGGGGATGACCCTTTTTAGTGAATAATTTTCTCCAACAAAATATTCTGATTGTTACAATTTTCCAGTACCATAAAAATGCTCTTCTGATGTTCAGTTCCATTTATTGGCCTGCCTGTTAATCTCTGAAGAGATTGCTTTCATGTGCATTGTATTAGGGACTCACAATAATGAATTCAGAATAGCTTCAGAGAAGCTGCAGTTCAAGAATGCTGTGTGGATTGGGCTGAAAAGGCTCAAATCATTTTTTTAATGCTACATTTTTAATGACTGGTTGTTTGCTTATTGGACTTTGAACTGCACTCAAAAGATTTGGAGCTAGTTGCAATTTGGCAATATTGAATCTTAAATATAAAAGATTAATGTATCATCACATTTTATTGTTCTCAGTGGCATATACCTATAAGCAGTGGTGAAATTCAAATTTGTTTTACTACCGGTTCTGTGGGCGTGGCTTGGTGGGTGTGGCAGGGGAAGGATTCTTCAAAATCTCCATTCCCACCCCACTCTGGTGCCAGGCAGAGGTGATATTTGCCGGTTCTCCAAACTACTCAAAATTTGCGCTACTGGTTCTCTAGAACCTGTTGAATTTCACCCCTGCTTGTAAGCCTATTTATCTAACCCAGAACAGTGTCAAAATATCACTGTTGTTACCCAATAGGAAGATAAGGGTCTACACAAAAGGAAGATGAAGTTTTCCCAACAAATACTTACTTTTGAAAGGTATTACTTTGAAAAGTAATCATATATGCAGTGAATAGAATTTCACTGAGAGTGAGATCTCTAAAACATACATGAGTGTGCAGATGAAGCCCTCCTCTTATGAAGTCCATTGCAACTTCTTTCCCTTCCTGCCCTATTACAGACCAGATACCCAGTAAGGTAACAAGCGGCATCAATGCTCTTGTCTGCCTTCCACTTGAATAGAAATATACTATGGCATAGTGACTGAGCAGGATTAGAAACCTAAGCATGCTTACTTGGCAGGAAGAGATGTTGAACTCAGTAGGACTTAGTAGAGTGACTGAGTTCATAGATTTGTGCTGATCCCAACATAAAAACCTGTTAAGCCACCTGTAAGCTCTTTCATTTCCTGTCTAGTCTCATCAAAATCATGTCATCTCTATTTCTTTTTCTTTCTGTCCTTTGTTGTCTGTTTCTCCTTCTTTGTTGTTTTTTGCATAGGAGTGGAAGAAGATGTGACTCTGCCTTTGTCTATAATAAGTGAAAGACAAAATTGTTTCTGTGCAGATGGGAAGAAAATTGCCTTACTTTATGGGCAGTTTATTTTAATCAGTAGATAATTCAGTTTGCTGGAGAGGTTTTCCTGGTCTTTTTTTTTTTTTTTTTTTGAGAATGGCTTCTGGCCAATATGTATATAGATACTAGGCTTAATCTTGGATTGACAGGAAACTAGATATTCCATATGATTTTCATGTGGACTTGTATTATAAAAAGAAAAAAGTATAAGTTTTTCTCTTTATAATCTTTTTTCACCATTTTAAATTTAGAATTGTCTTTCTTTTGAACAAATGTTGTAACAGCAAACTGACACTTCATCATGAATATGGAAAACATGGATGGTTCCAAAATTTCCTTGTTTAACTTCTAAAAATACACTTAGAATATGTACTGGCTCCAAACTAAAACTGCAAAATAGCCTGATGGTCAAGCAAATGACAAGAAGAAAGGAAAATAGAAAGAAAGGAAGAAAAGAAGAAAGCCAAAAAGAAAGAAAAAAAGTTGATGCATTGTGTTTTATGAGGGATTACTGTTTCAAGTCATTGTCACACATACAATAAAATACTTAAAATATGTTAGGTTGGATCCAGAGTTTCTATTATCTTTTTCAGTTTCACAGGTGAAACTCGAAAAATTAGAATATCGTGCAAAAGTTCATTTATTTCAGTAATGCAACTTAAAAGGTGACACTAATATATGAGATAGACTCATGACTTGCAAAGCAAGATAGTTCAAGCATGATTTGTCATAATTGCAATGATTATGGCTTACAGCTCATGAAAACTCCAAATCCACAATCTCATAAAATTAGAATATTACATGCAATCAATAAAACAAGGATTGTACATAGAGCAATATCGGACTTCTGAAAAGTTTAAGCATGCATATGTACTCAATACTTGGTTTGGGCCCCTTTTGCAGCAATTACTGCCTCAATGCGGCGTGGCATGGAAGCTATCAGCCTGTGGCACTGCTGAGGTGTTATGGAAGACCAGGATGCTTCAATAGCGGCCTTCAGCTCTTCTGCATTGTTCGGTATCATGTCTGTCATCTTTCTCTTGGCAATGCCCCATAGATTCTCTATGGGGTTCTGGTCAGGCGAGTTTGCTGGCCAATCAAGCACAGTAATCCCACAGTCATTGAACCAGGTTTTGGTGCTTTTGGTGCATTTTCCTGCTGGAAAATGAAGTCAGCATCCCCATAAAGTTAGTCTGTGGAAGGAAGCAGGAAGTGCTCCAAAATCTCCTGGTAGACAGCTGCGTTAACCCTGGACTTAATGACGCACAGTGGACCAGCGGATGACATGGCTTCCCAAATTAACACAGACTGTGGAAACTTCACACTGGACCTCAAGCACCTTGCAGTGTGTGCC